GGAAAAGTCCAAAGGCGGCTGGTCCATTACATTAGGGAAAAGATAGGGACTATAAGAGGCTTTCCCAGTGTAAGTCTGTTTATCTCACATCCCTTTGTCTCTACTCTGTTTACTCATGTAAACTCTGTGCTGTATGGTCCTCTCATGGGGAGGTAAAGGGGAATTACCTGTTAATGGTGTTTACTCTGGGCCCCGGAACCCAAAGCTTTTGTCATTCATGAAACCACTCTTTTAACCATGTTAATTACCCACAAGCATGTTAACTTAAACCCTCTGTTATAAAATTTTTACTAAATAAATGTATAGATGTACAGGGAGTCTTGGTCAATTGGTGGCAGTTGCCCTCTGAAAGCAGCCAATGACCATCCCTAGCCTACTTGAGTCACTGAAATAGGTGTGAGAGTGCGTTTATTCATCCGTCATTAAGTCAGGGTCTGCAGGACAGACCTCTGCAGATGGTGATGAATGTCTCATTCCTTTATCACACTCACTTCCACTCAAATTGAATACTAACTGAGAGGAGGGTGATGGGGTTGATGTTCAACAACTTTCAAGCTTACATGTAATTTTGGAACAATGAACAGTGACAGAAAAACAGTGAAGATCCCTGGGTTCCCTCCACATTGGCCACTGTGGAGAGCTTGGAATATCATGATGTTTCATCCTAAAGCATGCAGTTTGTTGTGTTTGCTATGGTTCAAGAGCAGATTGCTAACAAAATCTGTAATTTAGAGTAAGATGCAAATTGCTTCACTAAAACAACCTGCCAATACTTGTAATCTTTTAACCTTTTTTTTTTTTTTTTGAGGCAGGGTCTTATTGCTTTGTTTCCCAGGCTGGAACGCCATGGCATGATCTCGGCTCACTGCAGCCTCCTCCTTCTGGGTTCAAGTGATTTTCCCACCTCAGTCTCCCAAGTACCTGGGATTACAGGGGGGTACCACCACACCCAGCTAATTTTTGCATTTTTAGTAGAGATGGGGTTTCACCATGTTGGCCTGGCTGGTCTTGAACTCCTGACCTCAGGTGATTCACCCACCTCAGCCTTCCAAAGTTCTGGGATTACAGGCATGAGGCACCATGCCCAGCCAATAGTTGTAATCTTTATGTGATGTGAGTTGTGAGATAAAGTTGCATTGTAAATTCATAAATATTTTCATCATAGCAACAGTATTTAAAATGTGGTAAATGGTTGAATTCCAGAATGGCTTACTTTTTTTAAAAAAGCTAGTTTGTTTTATAATCACAATTACATCAGAATTTTTTATAGTTGAAAGAGTTGACCCTTGAACAATTTGGGGTTTAGGGCCTGCACAGTCAAAAATCTGATTCTAACTTTTGACTCCCCTCAAACTTAACTACCAAAAGCTTACTGTTGACCATAAGCTTTACTGATAACATAAACAATTAACACATTTGTTTATGCTATATGCATTACATATGGTATTCTTACTATAAAGTAGGCTATAGAAAAGAAAATGTTTAAAAAAAACAGTGAAGGGATAATATATGTACTATTCATTAAGTGGAAGCAGATGACCATAAATGTATTTATCCTCATCTTCATGTTGAGTAAGCTGCAGAAGAGGAGAGGTTGATTTCACTGTCTCAGGGCTGACTGAGGCAGAAGAAAATCCGCATATAAGTGGACCCTCACAGCTCAAACTCCTGTTGTTCAAAGGTCAACTGTACATTTTTTTGTGTGTGGAGGTATCCTTTCATACACACATGGTATTGACCTGAAGTCATTTTGGTTTGTTAGTAAAAGGTTATGTCCATTGTGTGCAATTGCTTTTCAGCACTTGTGAAACACTTTATACTACTGCTTGTGAACTGAGCCCACTAGGTGTAATTGAGAAGCTCCCGAATCAATTGCATCAGGATGAGCCTGCACAGCCATGGTGTGGGAGAACCAGGCAGTTCTCAGGGATGTCCCTGAGGCAGAGACTAGGCTCCCTGCCTAACTTAGGTAAGACCTACCAACAAGCGATCTGATTAATCTAATCTGAGTTATTCACACACATCTTATGACAAAAAGAAAAAATGCTACTCATGCCATGGCCATATGAATGTCACTCCCAGGTCAGAGTGAATAATGTAAAGCTTTTAGATGAATAGCAAGGATGTGAATAAGATTCTTATGAAACTAATGAATTCAGAATTTTGATGAATAGAATAAAATAAATAGGTAAAATGTATTGGAAGCTTTAAGATATTACCACTATCTTAAAGCTTCTTGGTTTTTTTTTCTATCTAATTCTAATACTGAGTTTTCAGATTGTAAGGCTGAGACTACTGTGTGCTGAAATTGGTTGGTGAACAGAGATATTTGTTTAAAGTACTATAACTTAGTTCTAATACAAAGTGGTGTGCTGAATATGGTAAAAAAAAAAAAAAAAAAAAAAAAGAAGGTGGCAGGGAGTTTTCACAAGTTGGTCGCTTCACACTTACCACGCAACTGCACCTTGGGCACAGAGACTGAGTACCTGCGTGCCGTGGTGGGCGAGCCAGCACAGCCTGCGAGCCAGCTGGGCAGGGTTGGCTTCCTGCCTGTACTTCAACCAACGGGCTGGAAGCACAAGTAAGGGAGAATGCCAGCATCCCTACTACTGAGACTTCTTTGTCTACATTTGTTCACTCCAGTTCAAGTTTACAACCCCATTCCCTCTGCTAAGATTCCGGGCCTCAGAGATGATACTGCCCTGAACCACCTTGATTTTCAGTTAGGTGTACAGATTGTATAGACTGTCACGCTCCACTAAGTTGAGTAGAATTTTTCAGATGTGCTTTTACTTCATAATGTCATATTTATCTACTTCTATTTAATAAACAAAAAATGAACAATTAACATGCTAACAAGTATGAATACATTATATGGGCTTTTTTTTTTTTTGAGGTTTACTGGCTTCTTATAAAGGATACTACAAAGAATCCAAGTGATGTGTAGGGTGAGGTATGGGGGAAGGGCACTGAGCTTCCCTGTCCTCCCTGGGTGTACCACCCTCCAGGAACCTCCCTGTGTTCAGCTATTGGGAAGCTCCCAACCCAGTCCTCTTAGGTTTTTTATTTTTTAATTGTGATTTAGGTTCTGGGGTACATGTGCAGATCATGCAGGATTGTTGCATAGGTACAAACATGGCAAGGTGGTTTGCAGCCTTCATCCCCCCATCACCTATATCTGGTATTTCTCCCCTCATTATCCCTCCCCACCCTCCCCACCCAACTGTCCCTCCCCTAGCCTCCCCCACTGACTGCAGTATGTGATGCTCTCCTCCCTGTGTCCGCGTGTTCTAATTGTTCAACACTCGCCTATGAATGATAACACATGGTGTTTGGTTTTCTGTTCTTGTGTCAGTTTGCTGAGAATGATGGTTTCCAGATACATCCATGTCGCTATGAAGGACACGAACTCATCGTTTTTTATGGCTTTGTAGTATTCCATGGTATATATGTGCCATATTTTCTTTATCCAGTCTATAGATGATGGATATTTGGGTTGGTCCCAGGTCTTTGCTATTGTAAACAGTGCTGCAATGAACACATGTGCGCATGTGTCTTTATAATAGAACACTTTATAATTCTTTGAGTATATACCCAGTAATGGAATTGCTGGGTCAAATGGTATTTCTATTTCTAGGTCCTTGAGTAGTCACCACACTGTCTTCCACAATGGTTGAACTAATTTATACTCCCACCAACAGTGTAAAAGTGTTCCTATTTCTTCACATCCTCTCCAGCATCTTTTGTCTCCAGATTTTTTAATGATCACCATTCTAACTGGTGTGAGATGGTATCTCAATGTGGTTTTGATTTGCATTTCTCTAATGACCAGTGATGATGGGCACTTTTTTATGTTTCTTGGCCTCATGGATGTCTTCTTTTGTAAAGTGTCTGTTCCTATCCTTTGCCCACTTTTGAATAGGTTTTTTTGTTGTAATCATTTTTAGTTCTTTGTGGATTCTGGATATTAGCCCTTTGTCAGATGGGTAGATTGCAAAAGTTTTTTCCCATTCTGTTGGTTGCTGGTCACACTAATGATTGTTTCCTTTGCTGTCCAGAAGCTCTGGAGTTTAATTAGATCCCATTTGTCTATTTTGGCTTTTGTTGCCATTGCTTTTGGTGTTTTAGCCATGAAGTCCTTGCCTATGCCTATGTCCTGAATGGTTTTGCCTAGGTTTTCTTCTAGGGTTTTTATGGTGTTAGATCTTATGTTTAGATCTTTAATCCATCTGGAGTTAAATAGGGATTTTTTTTAGATGTCTATTCAGTATGCATTTTACAAATATATCTTAAGGCTATATCCCTGCTACCTAATAACAAATGTATGTTCTGATTTAGAAAAAAGAGATACATGTGATATGGAAGGTAAAAATGCAGAAACCTGAGTCGATTGATAAATACCAGTTATTTCATACATGTGAACAATTCACAAGATGAAAGGGGTTGCAGAACTCTGCTTCTCCCATTTTCTAGCTATCTCTTTTTCAGATATCCTTTACCTGAATAACTACTACTCTGTGTAGAGTGGAGAGAATTTTAAAATTGGAGATTATTTTAACATCCTAGGATAACTGAGGTTATATTTATTTTCATATCCTCAGATTCACCAAATTAGCAGTAAAAGTTGACTACTTATTTTTGGAGACAATGTCTCACTCCGTCACCCAAGCTGGAGTAGTGCAGTGGTGCAATTGTAGCTCACTGCAGTTTCAAACTCCTGAGCTCAAGCAATCTTCCTGCTTCAGCCTCTAGAGTAGCTGGTACTACAGGTGAGCAACACTATGCCTGGCTAAGTTTTTTCTTTTTTTGTAGAGACAGGGTCTGCATTGTCCAGGCTGGTCTTGAACTCCTGGCCTCAAGCAATCCTTTCACCTTGGCATTGAAAAGATCTGGGATTACAGGCATGAGCCACTGCACTTGGCTAAAAGTTGATTTAAAATTGCATCTGTAGAATTATACCTAGCAACTTTTAAGACAAAGAAATTAAGAATTCAAAGTTGTCATTAAAATCAATTATTTTAATTGCTGAAATTAACATACATAATCGATGTAGGTGAGAGAGATCACAAGTATTTGGATGAAATTTATAGTAAATCATCCTATTGCTGGAGACAGTCATGAAGAGCTCCATCCTGTTGATCTGCTGAACTGAAAGGGACTGTCACTCAGCCTTCAAGGACATGCACATCATAAAGGAGGCCAAGCAGAAATCAAAGCAAACAATAGCTACATGTGTGGAAAATATACATCAAATTACACAGACAAGAGTTATGACCAGTTGTGTACCTGCTCAAGTGGGAACATTTTAAAAGATGACAATCATCTATGAATACTGAAATGTGATGGTCAAGTGGTCCATCATCAACACAGATACAAATGGAAATCATTAAACTTTCTGGAGGGGCCATTTGAATAACAACGTCAAAGCCTGGGTTTTCCCCAGCGGGATTTTGATCTTCTTATCTGGATAAGCACAGGCAGACATGGGCTGGCCAGTGGCTGGTTTCTGGATGCAGCCACACTGACGGACTTAGCACTGCAGCTCCTCCTCCTTGGTCCGCCGGGAGCCTCCTGACAAGTTCTGGGCGCTGGCATGGGCCGTGGAGCTGAGGACCTCCTCAAAACTGCCTCCATTAGGGTTCATCCCGCCTACTTTCGTCTGAAATGAGCAGATCCACAAAAATGCAGTTAGTTGTTACTATCATTTTTGTAATGTTTTTATAAGAATGCCAAAAGCTGGATTACTTTCACATTCAGAAATACTTTCTATCTTTAGAGACAAAGGAATGTAGAGAAGTTTGTTTCCTTTAGCAGAGTGCTAGAATGTTATTCATACTTGGGTTCTGGGACAGGATTCCAAAGTTTAATTTTGCACAATTTTAGCAACTCTCTCTTTGTCTCTTCTACTTCTAAGATTTCAATCCCTTCAAGAGCATAATCCGATCCATGGACTTGGAACTTCTATCCCCACTCACCCAGAGAACTGATCTAATCAAAATGGAATTAGATTTTTTTTATTAATTCCTCCAATTTTACAAATGTATAAACATCTTTACATGACATAAACTTAAGATTTTTTGGGGGAGTTAGCAGGACAATCTGGATTTCTGGCAAATGCCTTTGAAAAGACAGAGTGGCTCAATGGAAAATGATTTCTCGTTTCTGCTCTGAAAGTTGGAGATGGATCAAGCCTTAATCACTGGTGATTTCACATCATCTTAGGTAATTGCCTTTTGATATGGTTTGGCTGTGTCCTCACCCAAATCTCATCTCGAATTGTAGTTCCCATAGTCCTCATAAGCCTACCAGGGAGGAACGTGGTAGGAGGTAATTGAATCATGGGGGTGGTGGCCTCCAAGCTGTTCTCATGATAGTGAGTGAGTTCTCACAAGATCTGATGGTTTTAAGGGGCTTTTATCCCTTCTGTTTAGCACCTCTCCTTCCTGCCACCATGTGAAGAAGGACATGTTTACTTCCCCTTCCGCCATGATTGTAAGTTTCTTGAGGCCTCCTCAGCCCTGTGGAACTGTGAGTCAATTAAACCTCTTTCCTTTATAAATTACCCAGTCTTGGGTATTTCTTCATAGCAGCATGAAATGGAACTAATACACTCTTATAGTAGGAATATTCCTTACAATGCAGAAATGATGCTTTATGAGGCCTTTTTCGTCAATACTTGCTATTGACTAAGAATAAACATGAAGGAATTAACTTACAATTTAAAAATATGGCTATTTTGAAAAATTCCTTATTTAAAAAGCTGTATATTTAATGGTCCAAAATGCTTAGTACAAGTCTTATTAATAGTCACATTGGCCTTCCCTCCTATTGTTTTTCATAATGTAGAAAAAGCACTTTGAAGCAGGAAACAGAGATATAGAATAGATAATGTTGCTATTGCCAAACTGACGTTGATGCCCCACTGTCACCAAAGTGATCACTCACAGACATCAACAACACTGAGGAGTTTGTTCGTGCTGCCTGGCCTGCTATTTTAAAAATGTAACCAGGGTTCAAAAGCAGTTCCATCATTACAAAACATACTTTTCTCCAATTGTCACTAAAATCTCTCTCTGCCTCTTTAATAAATTTTTTATTGAATTAAACTTTCCACTCTGCTTGTGTCAGAAAACTCTACCTGTAAAGGGCTAGACGGTAAATACTTAAGGCTTAGTAAACATATTGTTGCTCTCACAGATACTCAAATGAGTTCTGGCCACAGCCAATACCTAAATGAATGAGCGTGGCTTTCTTTTCCTTCCTTCCTTCCTTCCTTCTCCCTTTCCCTTTCCCTTCTATTCTTCTCCCTTCCCTTCCCTTTCTCCCTCCCCTTCCCTTTCTCCTTCCCCTCCCCTCCCCTCCCCTCCCCTTCCCTTCCTTTCCTTCTTTCTTTTTGAGAGGAGTCTTGCTCTTCACCCAGGCTGGAGTGCAGTGGTGCAATCTTAGCTTACTGCAACCTCTGCAGTTCTCCCTGTCTCAACCTCCTAAGTAGCTGAGATTACAGGCACCTGCCACTATGCCCAGCTAATTTTTTTATTTTTAGTAGAGACAGGGTTTCACCATGTTGGCCAGGCTGGTCTCGATCTCAGGTGATCCGCCCACCTCGGCCTCCCAAAGTGCTGGGATTACAGGCATGAGCCACTATGCCAGGCCAAGGCTGTGTTTCAGTAAGACTTAATGTATGGACACTGAAATGTGAATTTCATATAATTTAATTTTCACATGTCACAAAATATTTTTATTTTGATTTTTTTCAACCATTATAAAGCGTAAAGCCATTCTCAGCATATGTATCATTCCAAAGAAAACGGCCAGCTTAGTTTGTGGACCTCTGGCAGAGCACTGATTCTTCCTCCCCTTGTTATCTTAACACTGGGAATAGGTAGGGGGAAGGGATGGTTTCCACTATGTGATTTTTCTTTATGCTTATTTCTTCCCTGAGAGAAACAAATAAGATTAATTCAATGTAATCTACTCTATTAATAGTTCCCTCTTTCCTTTTGTTTCTTCCATTCACATTCTCTTTTGCAATAGAAGTAACACACAATATTGAATTCAGTGAATACCAATTACTGATGTGTTCTTCTGTTCTTTGTTTCTTTCTTCTCTCCTGTTTCTTGATTCAAAACAGAGTAGTAAAGAAGAAAGAAATGACTTTGTAAGAAATAAATTTGGCAAAGAAGGAATGGAATAAGAGAGTTTCCTAACCACATAGGTTTAATGGCTGCCTACTGCAATACCTTAGGTAAGGACCTGCTTAAGCAAAGATGTGAATGATAAAATTCTCCTGGAACCTTCTCTTCATAATCATTTTTCATCCAAGTATTTGTCACTTTGTCCCCAAAATTATAATTGTTCTTTGCATAGAATTTCATTTGAATTGCTGAGTTGGGCTTCCTCATCTCTCATAACAAAATAACTGATTGAGAGGACAAAAAGAAACAAAACATGTAAGCTTGCCCTTTGTTTTTTTAAGGTTTTGGTCCAGGCCATGTAATGTATTTATTATTTAAAAAGTAGACACACTAAAAATATGGTCAGCTTGGCATGGATGCAAAATGGTTGGAAGAGATGTAGCTACTCATGACTCATTGGGACATGTAGAAGATACCAAGGGTGGTTTCACAGGAGTTGGTTCCGCATTTGCTTGTTTGTTTTGGATGAAACAGCATGCTCAGTGACTATATAGGCGACACCAGCTAAAGTGTCAAGTAATACACCTTGTGTAGGCAGAAATGAATTTTATAGGATTGGAAAACTGTTTCATGGAAAAACCAACTACAGAATTGGGTATAAAGAAAGAACAATGGATTTGGTACAAGTGCCCCATGGTACATGACAGATTGTGTGGGAAGGTGGCAGGAGTGGACCTTTACAGCAGAACCATATTTCTCAGAATATAAATATGATGATTCCTTATCAGCAGTATTTTCAAAAATCAAATATAAAGCAGGGCATGTGAATGGAAATGCAGCACGTAGATCTAGAAGAAATTCTACTTATCTTTACTGATTCATGAGTCATTCCCTCAGCAGAAAACAGTCTAAGGATCCTTAATTAAAGAACAATATAGACATTTTGGAGAAGATTTAGAACACAAAAGTAAACTGCAGAAAATGAGCTATATAAAGAAGGGTTATACATATCTATTATTTATCCTAGTTGGGGGAAAAAGGACTGAGAAATTTGTAATTATTGAGGAAGTGGTAGGTTTGACACAAAGCGTGATTATCAGCTATTCTCCATTGCCTGGGTGGACAGAAAAAAAAGTGATTAGGCTTTGGCTGTGAGATAGGAGGTGGATGGGATGTGAGTCTTGTTAAACCATGAACAGTCATACAAACAGAATCACTTTCTGGAGGTCTTCACCTCCTGAAGGCTAGTATCTGGTGGGCGGGGTTAGTTATGTGCATGTCTGAAGTAGGCGGCAGGCTATACCTTCTATCCCAATAAGGTGAGAAAAGTGAGAAGCTGAGCGTGTGGATCAAACACTTAAATCCTATGTGAGCCGTGAGCTTTCCAGAATTTCCTAAAAGCAAATGAAAATGCGTTGTTCTTTAATCTTCGTTTCTCCTTCTTCTAAAGAAAACCTAAAAAGTACAACTTCTCCTATATCAAAACTTGTCTAACGAGCAATGGAATCCATCTTCGTTGTGTTGTCTAAGGAGGCTGAAAACCAAATGTTTAGAAACTGACTCCTGGGATTTTTGAGCCTTTTGTTTTGATATTCTAGTAAGAGAAATGTTTACAACATTGGATGCTCCTCCCTTTATAAAAATTTTCCTGCCCATGGGGCAGTTTAACAACACCCACCAGTCCCTGTACGCTCAGTAAGTGATCATGTTGGCATGCAGAGTGGTGAAACTGCACAACTGGAAACTGCTGGTGAATGAAACTGATGAAGGCATGGTAAATGCTGAATAATAATTTCATTATTGGCCTTAAACACCTGATTATGGGCCTAATAAAGTAGAAGTAGAAGACTATGTAAAAGACCCTGCCCTGAGAAAAAGACTCTCCGGGTCAAAATCCATAAGAGCACCTGGACCACAAGTAAGGAATAACTTACAACTTCACATATACTTATCAAGGCAGCACATGTGACAGCAGCGTGGAGACGCAGGATTCAGAGGCAGCTGAGTAATCAGCATGGGATATAAAGGTTTTTGATCTGGTTAAAGATCACATGCATTCTTAATTTTCCCAGTTATGGTAAAATACAGAAATGGATTGTATGTATACAAAATAGGGATGATGATAGCAAGATGTAATTAAGTCATTAAATGATACCTTTAAAAATTATCTTCGTAGTTTTAGTGATTTTTCTTGTTTTAAAAGTTCAATACATTTTAAGACTAGACTGATTTCATTTTTACTCTTTGTATTCAAACTTACCTATGCTCAAACAATAAGTCCAGTGAATTTTTTAATAGGCACATTTTCAGTTTATACCCAGGGATGAAACGCATTATTGCATTATTATAAAATGCATTTTGTGACTCAGTTAAATTTTTCCTCTATGATAGCCATACTGTACCGTGCTCAGTACCTGAATTTATAAACTAACCAGCTGAACGGGTAGTGGATACATAGTCCCAAGTTTGTTTTTACTGGTCTATGTCCAAACCAGAGCAGCTCTGAGCTGTTATTGGACTTCCACTCATACTCTAAAGTCAGACTTCATATAGCCTTTATCCTATCCACAGTTGTCTCTCACTTATCTACTTTTGAGGGGTAACATTAAGAGATTAAATGGTAAACACGTACCCCAATTCACTTTAATGAACAATTCACCCCTGAATGGTTTATACAAACAACTCTAAGGATACAGTAACACTGTTCAGTCGTGGTTTTATTCATAGATGTATATGTGAAGGAAAAGGTCTGACTTGATGCAAGCCTGCCTTCTTGTCCCTGCCTTGACTGTGAACTAACCGCAGCGATGGCTAAGCTGTCCTGAGTCCATGGACCCACTCACACAGAATTCACTTCATCTGTACCTTGAGGCTTGTGACAGTTGTCTCAACCCTCTCCTCAAATGATTTGAAAGTAGGAGAATTCCTAAAATAACAAAAAAAGAGAGGTCAGCTCCAAAGACCTAGCTGTCTTAGCAACCATGCTGTTTGGTTTTCTGCTCATATTTGTAAACCTGGCCTCTGCAACAGAGCTACCTGTCAGCTTGCCATCTACACCAACCGTGTTTTAAAATGTATGTCACTTCTGATAGGTTAGGTTCACAAACCATAACCTGACATGGAATTTTTCTAAGTAAAATGGGCAGATAGTCAACTGTACAATAAATAATATGATATTTGGCAATGACACAACTATAATAATGCCATGGTATACTGTAAATCATTTCCAGTGAGCCAGTGGAGCAATAGGTAGCTTAAGTTTTCATTTAGCATTTATTGTTTCTATCACAACACTCCTCTTCCCGACTCAGGTTTTTTAGTAAGCAATGGAAAATCCGTATGAAGAACGTCATGTTTGAGTTTTGCCACTTGGCATTTTTTAAAGTTTTATTTCAGCAAATGTGAGACAAGACAGAAATAGCACAAGGAAAAAAATGTTCATGTTTTTTTCTTTTCCATGCCTTAAAAAAATAATCATTTTGACAGCTTCCATGAAGTAGTGTTTTGGAAAGTTAATGCTTTCATTATTTTAAGATAAAACATACCCATTACCTACCTAATGCCTTATCTAAATGGTATTATTAGAATGTGTTATTTTTCCTCCCACATAGGATATATCTATTTGTTCTCTTACTAAACAGGTTTTTTTGCTTTGTTTTGTTTTTTGATAAAGAGTCTTACTTTGTTACCCAGGCTGGAGTGCAGTGGCACTATGTTGGCTCACAGCAACCTCCACCTCCTGGGTTCAAGTGATTCTCCTGCCTCAGCCTCCAGAGTAGCTGGGACTACAGGCGCCCACCACCACACCAGGCTAATTTTTGTCTTTTTAGTAAAGATGGGGTTTTACCACGTTGGCCAGGCTGGACTCAAACTCTGACCTCAGGTGATAATGCCTGCCTCGGCCTCCCGAAGTGCTGGGATTACAGGCGTGAGCCACTGTGCCCAGCCCCTAATGCCATTTTATTTGTGACACATTCATTGTATTAAATAATCTATACATCATCTTGTTGCTTTAAGCGTTAAAAACTTCATTTGGTGCTTTCTAGTTTTCTATATTGTATTTGGCCCCATGATATTATAATTTAATGACATCACTACCATTAAAAATAGCAACAACTCCTACTAAAGAAACAGGAACTGAACTAAGTGTATTTTAAATCTTGTATCCATGTCAGCTTTCAGCAGCAACAACTGCTATCATTTTCAGATCAAATAATTCAACTAAATGTTGAATTAATAAGGTACTTGTTATTCTCTCTTGAGTGCAAAAAAAAAAAAAAAAAAGTAAAATAAGAATGGCCTAGAAAAACTTTACAAAGGAGAATGGCTATAGAATATAGGTTTCATTGTATGATGCAGAATGAAGCATCACTCTTATTATGCTACTAAAAGGCAATGGACATAGATGTTTATGAGTGAATTTGGGGATTGTCTCCCGAGTCTTTTATGCTTCACATGGTCAGAAATGTATCTGCCTTCAGGCTGCACAGATCAACACAGGTGAGTTCAGAGGACCCTGACGTGGCATCACACCTTGTATGTGACTCAAACATGAGTTAAATTCCTATAAGTAATCCTCTACAATCCTGTTTCGTGATGAAACATTAGTAAAATTACACCTGCGTGACTCAAAAGGTATATAGTTATTGGCATTTCATTTCCATTGCAGGTTTTATTTCACCAAGCCTTCGCTCATGACTGCCTGTCATCCGTCAGTTACAAAGGCCCACAGTGAGGAAACGGTTCATGGGTATATGTTAGACAAGCAAAATAATTTTTTTTTTCAAGTTAGTTTCAGGCAAGCTCATGCAGACTGCATTTGACCCATAAGCTACTACCAGATGACTTCCTGGTTCACAGGGCAAAACCATGTTAATTTTTGCAAGCCTTCTTCTGACACCCAGATTTAAAATTTGACAAGTAAAGGAAATTAGAGCCTTAGGTTCCACTACCCAACTTAGACGTTCTTAAGCTAGGGGGAGCAAGCCATTCAAAGATGAACTAAGCAATCTTGAATCTGTACTCCCTGGTTACCACCAAATACAGAGAACTAAATACTGTGGTTAAATTTCCAAATCAACCAATTAACCACATAACCCCAGTGTAAAAGAGCCTTCCTTCATAAGATGTAATAGAACAGACATTTGTCTAATTAAATTATACTAGAGTACATGCTGGAACAGGGAGAAACTTTAATCAGATTTAATCAGATGTACAACTTTAATCAGATTTAATCAGATGTACAAACTTTTAGCACTGCAAATGACCCTAGGAGGAATTTGGCTTCATGACAATTAAAAAACACAAAACACAGGAAACGATTATAAAGAATTTGGCTTCAGTGGTCTCAAATTATTGAAACTAACTGAACCCCCTCTGTAAAGTATTCAAACCACAATATTAAGGTAAAGCAGGTAGAAGAAGCATAGCTCTGACTGAAGTGGGGGAAGCTCCCAGAGGCTTCATCGCTAGGCAGCCTTAGGGCTCTGTGGGTGGGGGAGGCACTTTTCACAAGCAGCTAATCTGGTTCTAGCCTCTTATTTTAAAGATGATGAAGCTGATACCATTGAGGTGATTTTCCCAAGAGTGGAAAGTTAATCCTAGCCAAAGCCTGCATTTTCAGATTTTCAATTTAACACTCATTCCTATCTTACTATTAAATTTTACCAGATTGCATCACTATGCCATGGAAACTTGAAGTTAGGAATGTCCTTCTCACCAGTTATTATCTGGACAGTAATTCTGCTGGCATTTTATTGTTTAACAAACGTCTCAACTTAATATCTATGTTAAGAATCCTAATGATATCCTTTCTAGAATTTTAGCCTTCTTAATTTCCTATCCTTTCATTTAAACTTTCCCCCAGGCTGGCATTTAATTTTGCTGAAATAAGAAACCCAAGTGTACCTTTGCAAGATCGGTTGGCATGTTCAGATGCTGTGCTAAATGCTTTATGTAGGCTCTTTTGGTTATATGTCTCAAACACCATATGAAGTAGGTCTTATTTCTTGCAATATATGAATAAAAGAATTGAGGTTAAGTCACTTGTCTTGGGTCACACAGGAAAGGCTGGATTTAAGACAGGATGTCTGGTCAAAAGCCCAAACTACACAATTCTACAGAATTGTCAGTCTTTTCTTCTGAATAACATCAGCAATTTCCTTTCACATAAAACAGGGGAAGCCCATAGGTAAATATAAATAAAATAATATCTTAAACCCATTCTATAGTCATATTATATAAAATATTTTACACACATTACCTCATAGCAGGCATACTTATGGAATGGCGAATGGAGTAGCTTCAAAGCAAAAGCAGATTAAAGGGGGGAAAAAAAGAAAAAAGAAGAGAGCACAACATAAGTAAATGAAAACCTCCCTATTTGTAGTTCTAAAACAGTAATTCCAAATATCTGAAATATTCCCAGCCCATCCAACCAAGATGATATTTGTTTTGTTGGGTATAATGGGGCAGTGTCAGCTTTCAAGAGTATAAATGAAAAGTAGATGGTGGAGCCATGGTTGCATATTATTTTACTGTCTACAGCCTCCTTTTGCTAGGAAATCTGCGAATGTCTGGTTTCTCCTAGGTGAGCCCAGTAGCCCATGGGCATCTTCTGTAGGCCCAACCCGGGTCTCTACTCCCTTCTGCTCAGGAAGACAGTAAGGAGCAAACGGCAGTATCCAGGAAATAGAGCCAGGCGGTTAGGAGGTAATCACTCCATGGTAGAGAAACTGGCCAGAGGAATGCAAGAAGCTTACATAAGACTTTCAAGGAATCACGTGCCAGGGAAACACAATTCTCATAGGCCAATGTGGGGGCGGGGACTTCTGCATCCATTCAGGTTTGATTGTCAAGAACATCTGGTACAAACGCAAACATTCCTGAGAATTTTAAGAGATTTAGCTTTCTCATCCTATTAATCCTAGTAGCTGATTCATCTTTCCTCTGGTTGATTGCCTGTTACTTTCTAGTGAATCTCACTCAGATATCAGACTGGGCAGGGGGAGGAGCACAATGGGTCCATTTTCCTGGCCTAGTACTGGCTCCCACCTCACACTTTTCAACAGCATCTCTGCTTTCTCTTCTCTCAAGAAGCTAATAGTTCAGGGACTAAATCTGTTACCCTTCCCTGACAAAATCCACTGAGGGCATTAGTATGGGTAGCACTTTGCTAGAACACAGAAAAGGACACAGAAATTCAGGGGATACTTACAGTCTTACCCTAGGCACTCCATTTAGAAACTACTAGGCAGATATTTCCTCAGAAATTATACTTTAAAAGCATCACTAAAAGAAACTCATCTGCATTACTATGTAAATACAGACCGCTTTCTTAGGAAAAAATTAAAAAAATAAAAGTATATAATAAGATTGCAGCTAAAAGAAGGCTTAATTCAGGGGCTCGGGACTAACAATTGCAAACTTCTTAACATACGCGCTTCTTCAGTAACCCTTGTTCCCTCCAACTTCAGAAGGCACAGAAAGTTGAAGGTGAAACATCAACACAAATTAACAGGTAAGAAATTCAGAGAAACATGACAATCTCAAGAAAATCAGTTTTTGTTTCTCAACTTTCTAGAAGATTTACAAAATATATAGCTTTCTTTCTTTCTTTTTTTTTTTTTTTTTTTGACATGGAGTCTTGCTCTGTCACCCAGGCTAGAGTGCAGTGGTGCGATCTTGGCTCACTGCAACCTTAGCCTCCTGGGTTCAAGCGATTCTCCTGCCTCAGCCTCCCAAGTAGCTGAGATTACAGGCTCTGGCCACTATGCCCCGCTAATTTTTGTATTTTTAGTAGAGACAGGGTTTCACCATCTTGGCCAGGCTGGTCTTGAACTCCTGACCTCATGATCCGCCCACCTTGGCCTCCCAAAGTGCTGGAATTACAGGCGTGAGTCACTGCTCCCAGCCAAAAACATACATAACTTTCAATCTCCACTTGTTTTTTTCTTCTTCTTTCAATTCTAAGGACCTCTGTCAACACGGGAAGAAATGGTGCTGAGGAAGATTCCTGAGAGATTCCTCAGCAAGTGACATGGTGTAAATGATTCAGAAATGAGACAGAGATGTACTTCAATAGGCTCAAATGTATTAGGTGCCCTGTAAACTATCCTCCTGGTCACGAACACTCTCTGGAACATAGAATGTAGTTTTGTTGGTTCAGGAACAGTGTGAAAGAAACAAAGTCCTGGGAAGCAAGGGCAGCAAGGGAGTGGGCAGGGTCCCACACGCAGCCCCATGGTGCTTACCCAATGGAGTGAGACCTGCAGCCAGGCAGCACAGGAGAGAAGAGCAAGAGCAGAGTTAGCAAACAGGGATGCAGAGAAACACCGCACTGCTCTTGGGGGTCCCCTTTCAAGGGCCCCGGAGCAGAGACAGGTAGCTTCTTATACCACTTTTGATTACACTGACTTTTTAATGTCTCTGTCAAATCATTTTACCAACTTAGGTTTTGCTTCTAACTGTTATTCCTACGAGTATATAACAATGATTGGCCTCTAATAAAATGTCATGCCCTCTCCAAACATTCTGTCCCCACTGGATTAGTTTGAACAAATTAACTGAGAAGTTCCCAGAACATGCTAATGCTGTTAGAAAAATGATTCCAACCACTTGTATTTCTTCGGAATACTTTCCTAGGTGTGACCTCATTTTAACTTCACAGGAAACATTATGGTTAAAGGGGTATTAACAATGTTATTTTATGGATGGAGAAAGAGAGCGGGTACTTCCATGACAATCAGGTTAAAATGAGAATCTTACTTAGCTCAGAAAAACATAACGTATTTTTACAAAACATACAAATTAAATCCTAACATAATGCCTTTTTCCAGCTATTAAAAGGCTCAAAATCTAGGTTTTGCAAAGATCTGTAAGTATTAATTTGGAGTTATTTTAAAGAAGAACTGAGAGGTACTGTTTTTTCTTCCAAGGTATCTGAATTTTGCTGGTAATCTTTTTGAATAAATCCAGAAATTTATTACCAGAATGCACAAAAAATTTCTAGCATAATTGATAAAAATATAGAATAATATGATACTTTTAACCAAAAAGAAGTCTAAAATAAAAGGTCTATGATCAAATTTTAACCTATTCCTCATATTTACAAATTGGCACATTCATTTCTGAACAAAAAATCAAAGCTTATGAATTTTTCTCATTTAAGGGCTTATATTAAATTAAGCTTAAACACTTTTAAAATGACTTTTATGTATATTACTTGTTTTAGCATAATTTTAAACTAAAAATTCTTTGTAAAATGTGTTGCTTTTACAGAGTTATTCTCATTTATATACAAATGTTAGATATAGTTTGAGAGAAATATATACATGAAATATTATATAAATATAGCTCTGAAATCTTCAAACCCTTCAAAATATTTCAGGATTGTATTTGAGTCTCTAGTAACATAGACTATATTTTCCAATATTTTAGCCACAGTTTATAATGAAAATGTTGTGTCCTTTACATGGAGTAATAATTAGTGGAAAGTTTAGAAGTCCTGGCAAATAGGCCATCCACTATACTAAACAAAGCCACATTGAAACAGGAGGAAAGGCAGTAAATACAACCTTGACATTGTACCCAATTAGTGTTTAAACATGAATGTCAACATATTACATATGTGAACCACAGTCTTCATTCGTCACTATTGAGAAAAAACAATGAACAGGGGCTATACGAAATACAGTGGGCTCCTGTTAATGTACTCTCTCTACTTTCTATCATGTGGAGCTATCTTGTAACTAAGCTGGTCACTTAAAGAGAAAAAACGGCTATTTTTTGAGTGTATAATACATGCCAAGCTTTCTTCTGCTACTTTTATAATAGTACAATGATACTGCTATTCTTATATCCATTTTATTAGTGAGAACCCCAGTTACAGGTGAGCTAACTTATGTCTGCCTTCCTCATAAATTGACCCTCTGAAGCCAAATAATCTGGAAGCTTGTTATAAAAGCAGATTCCTAGACCCCAACCCAGAGGTTGTTACTGAGGCACAACCTCTGAATGGTGCAACCTAAGAATAAGTATTTTAAATAAGCTTCAGAGGTGTTTGTAAAATCACCTGAAGATGCAGAAGCACTATTCTAGTTAGCAGTATCACGCAGGGTTCCCAGGGTTCAAGTGAGCTCAGTATGTAGAGAACCAATTTTATAAACACAACAAGATATGTCTTCTTGGGTATAACAGGTTATAGCGTTTCCTGTTTTAAAGGATTATTAATTCGTTTAGATAAATGTTATAATGCCATTAAAATGATTACAAATTTTATTTGTAATAAAATTAGAGGTACTTAATAATCCAGAGGGTTTACCTATTTATCACACCTGCCTCTGAAGAAGTTCAATTACTTTTTATTATTGTGATATTAGTAAAAATGAAGATAAAACAATGTACTCAGATTCATGCATATGTCCTTGTGAATGCCTAGTTGTTAAAATAGTGAATGTTGTACAGTCCAGCAATTTTTGAAGTAAAAAAATTTAATAATATAATACATAAAGATATATCTATAAATGCAAAGATAGAAATACATAAATATTTGCCTCTCAGTGTCAAAGCTTTTTCTTTTCTTTTTTTTTTTTTAAGATAGTCTCACTCCGTCGCCCAGGCCGGAGTGCAGTGGTATGATCTGGACTCATTGCAACCTCCACCTCCTGGGTTCAGTCAACTCTCCTGCCGCAGCCTCCCGAGCGGCTGGGAATACAGGCACATACCACCATGCCTGGCTAATTTTTGTATATTTTTTAAATGGAGACAGGGTTTCACCATGTTAGGCAGGCTGGCCTTGAACTCCTGACCTCAAGTGATCTGCCTGCCTCAGCCTCCCAAAGTGCTGGGATTACAGGCATAAGGCACTGTGCCCAGCCCAAAGCTTTTTCTTTTTAATAAAAAAGTAATAGTTTAAGAATCCAGTAAAGTAAATACACACAGATTTTTTTCTAAAGAAGAAATTTAAAATGTACTCAAAAAGTTTTTAAAGAATAGAGGGAAAAATGAAACTGATTCTAAAGAAAAATCCTCCAAGGCATATCAGCCAAATGCAAAATAAACTGTGACTGGTATTTACATAAGCAAAAACTAAAAGAGCAATAACTCTATATGTGATAAATTCCTTGTACATAATATAAAAAACTATGGCCAATACCGCATTTTTTTTTTCTAGTGCCTCCAGTGAGAACTTTTGGTTACCACGTCAGAATCAACCTTGATGATCATCCTTATTTTATATAACAGTGAAATATTGAAAATAATCAAAATGTGCAAAGGTACTTATCTAAAAGTGCTGCTATAGCTGTACACTCATAGGAGATAATAAATTCATTAAAAATGAAGGTGCAATAAATATTTATTAACATACTCACAAAATATTTTTAAAATGAAGAAAGAAAACTACCAGAAGTATATATGTATGGTACCTTTATGGAATAAAAGGATAAATATGTATATACTTAACACAGAAGAATATACTAGATGGATGTATACAAATATATAACCTAGAATAGTTTATTGAAGCATGTTCCACTGAATGCATATTTTAATTTATCATTTATATTACAGCTAGTAAGATTTTGCTGCGTTCTTTTGAGATCTGTCTCACTACCCTGTATCTTCTATTTTTACCAGGTCGGGTCCTAGTAGAAATAGCAACTCTGGGACCAGGTCACCTAAGCCTGACCTTCAGGCAAAAGCGTCCCAATGTAAAAATTTATCTTAGTCATCAATAATACCAGCCATATAACATTTTTATCCATTAAAATAAAAAAAAATACATATGTTGAGATGAGCAGCTAATGGCTAGTGCTCCCTTCAATTGGAAAGCCAAGGGCTCAGCACCCTTCCCATGGTGTTTTCCCATAGTACCTCATGTCTCCGAACTTCTTACTGATGGCCGTCCCAACATTGCTGAAAGCTGCAGTCGCCTTCTGCCCTGCGTGACTCAGGGTTTCATGTGTTTTCTTGTAGCTAGAAGTAAAACACAACAACACAGTTTTTATATCATGAACGCCCATATAAAATTAATCTTCCTTCTCATTCCTTACTTTGAAAATGTCCTTTCATTTCAAATGCCATGCCCTCTCCAAACATCAACAGATTTAGGAAGAAGCACCACAAAAGCAATTGTTTCCATTCATTGTCCAGAGATGATGGGTTGGCTGCTGTTCATCAGAAGGGAAGTCAGACCATTAAATCTGAATTCAGAAATATAAATACAGATACAAATACAGATCTTAATGTACAGATCTTCATGACAAATAATGGAGCTGCTCAGAGAGTAGAATGTTGTTCTTGAAGTGTATTAATTCTAAAAAAAGACACTTGTCAATGAAAGCTCTAGTCACCAAGGGTGACACAGAAATTAGAATTTGCAGGTTTAGGTTTTGAAGGAAAATCTAAGCTTATACTGTGAATTTGGGTAAAATAACCCAGAAAAAGGCAAAATATAGCTAGTTTTTTAGCTTATTTTTCTAATATATATAGCTGGAAATGATAAAAACACATCATTTGAAGATAATATAGTATCTTTTTTTCAAAACAGTTTTAGGAATATAGTACTGTGAATATTTGTTGATAAGCCTATGTCATACTAGACTTGACTCCTTGAGGGCAAGGAAGCCATTCATCTTTGTGTCCCTAGTCACTGAGAAAGGGATAAAAGGAGAAACTCAATAAATAGTAGATGAACGAGTGGGTGATATCAAAAGGGACAACTTTCTGTGACTGAACTGGGAATAGTGGCACTAGGAAAAGAAAGAGTATAGTGGATTACAGGGATAGAATAGATAGACTCAACAGGAGATGGTAAGTGACAAGAGCAAGACAAAAGATTGCCCTGAGGATGTGAGCATCATGACAGGAAGGACAGTGGTGCTACCTCTAGGGCTGAGAAATTTCTGAGTTGGTTAATAAAGTGGGCAAGTCTGAGCTCAGACACACCTATCCCTGCCGCCACTTGATGGCATTTCTCTACCTGCCCTGGTTGCAGAACACAGATGACATAAACTCTTGAGAGCTTTATGGGCCCACCCATTGCCTGAGAAACCAGAATACCTCCCTTGGACGATTTAGGGCAAGCTTAAATCCCACCTTGACAACGGCAGCTGGTGCCCTCTTGAAAGCACCACCTCCTGGCTGGAGGTTGATCAACTCAGGCCATACTTCAACTCATGACAGAGTAACCCTGATTCCAGGAAGAAGAAAAGAGCAGCTAATACTGCTGCCTGTAACATCCTGGCCAGCCAGAGGTCCTGAGTCTGTCCACATGACAACTTCACTGCTAGTAAAACCAGCATTTGAGAAAGCCAGCACATTAAACCTACCTATAACCAAGGATTCTCACAGTCTACTTCACTCCCCTGCCACCTCCACCAGACCAAGTGCTGGTATCCATAGCTGGGAGACCTGAAGACTGGTCATATCACAGGACTCTTTACAGCCATTTGCCAGCACCAGCCCAGAGCCTGGTAGTACTTCTGGGTGGGTAGGCCATGAAGAGAAATAACAGTCACTGCAGTTCAGTTCTCAGGAAGTCCAATTTCTAAGGGAAGGGGAGAGCACTACATCAAAGGATCACCCTGTGGGACAAAAGTGTGGACAGCAGCCATTGAATTCCAGATCTTTCTACTGGTGGGAAGTTTCTCATAGCAGAGACACAATTGCAGTGCTGGGCACAGTAGGGAAAGTCTGCACCTCTATCCCAAATGGCAGGCAGCCTCTGTGATTGTGTAGGGCCTTGGAGAAAACGTTCTTGTTCCCCCTGGCACTCCACTGCAGACACAGTTGGGCTTCCCCCAGAGGAATGGAGGCACCTAGAGACAGTCTTTTTGAAAAAATCTGGGGTAAGTGCAGCCCCACAGGAGGAACACACTCCAGATTCCGGCTTGCATGAGAGGCAAAGTCACAATTCCTCCCTATTTGGAGCATCAACATTTCCATAGATAAAACAGGGGCCTGTCTAATCTGAATAGCCAGGACACTGGGACAGGAAGGAGGCTGTGAGGTGAGTAGCTTTCCTGCTTACCTGGTAGGGGAGCTGAGGTAGCTCCAACTATTCACCCTGATAAAACCTCAGGACATCTAATTGAGAGCTTCTCCAGCCACCTTCATCAAGGCTTGGACCTCAGCCCACCATCGGGTATTACATCTACCCATCTGCCTTAGCCACAACCAATGCCTGCCCTCCTCTCCTAATGGCCTGAAGATTAAATCATCAAGTCAGTAAATAAAACAGTGGGAAAAAGTTAAATAAATAAATGAGGGTACAACATGAGAGAACGAGATAAGCTTCAGGAGATCCGTGCCATTCCAACTCCTTAGGAGACAGTGAACTTGCCCACATACCAAGAATATAACTACTACAACCAGCATCACGGAAAGCCAGCACACAAAAAAACTTTCTATAACTAAGGATCGCATACAATGAGTCTTCACCTCTATAAGCACCAAGAATTAAATTAGGCTAAAATAGACATTAAAGTCTAATCCTTAAGAGGGAAAAAATAAATTTAAGTTTAAAAAAAAGTCCAATTAAAAATAAATTCAAGAGCAATTTTAAGAAATAGCCCATTTAAATGAGAAGAAATCAGAAAAGTAATTCTTGTAATATAACAAACTGGGGTGCTATAACACCCACAAAAGTTCACACTAGCTCCTCAGCAATAGATCCAAATCAAGAAGAAATCTCCTAATTGCCAGATAAAGAATTCAGAAGGTTATTAGGCTACTCAAGAAGATATCAGAGAAAGGTAAGTTGATTGAAAACTAACTTAAACTTTAAAGAAAAAAAAAAAGGACATCACTAAAAAATTTTCCAGAGAAATATATAGCATAAGGAAAAAACAATCATAACTTCTGGAAATGAAAGACATGCTTAGGGAAATAAAAAATACAAAAAATACAGTGGAAAGTTTCAACAATAGTCTAGAAAAAGTAGAAGAAAAAGCTTCAGAGCTCAAAGACAAGGCTTTCAAATTAACACAATCCAACAAAGACAAAGAAAAAAAGAAAGAAAATGAACAAAGCCTTCAAGAAATTTGGGATTATGTTAAATGGCCAAACCTAAGAATAATTGGTGTTCCTGAGGAAGAAGAAAAATTTTAGTTTGGAAAACTTATTTGAGGAAATAATTGGAGAAAACTTCCCTGGGCTTGCTAGAGATCTAGACAACCAAATACAAGAAGCTCAAAGAACTCCTGTGAAATTCTTCACAAAAAGATCATCACCTAGGCACACAGTCATCAGGTTATCTAAAATCAAGACAAAAGAATCTTAAGAGCAGTGAGGCAAAAAATCAGGTAATCTATAAAGGAAAACCTATCAGATTAACAGCTGGTTTCTCAGCAGAAACCTTACAAGCCAGAAGGGAGTGGGGTCCTATCTTTATCCTCCTTAAATAAAATAATTGGCAGACAATTAGCCAAGAATTTTGTATCCAGCAAAACTAAGCTTCATAAATGAAAGTGAGATAAAGTCTTTTGCAGACAAACAGGTGCTGCGAGAATTTGCCACTACGAAGCACCCTGACAAGAAATGCTCAAGGGAATTCTAAATGTTGAAACAAAACTTTGAAATACCCAAAAATAGAACTTCCTCAAAGCATAAATCTCATAGAACCTATAAAACAAGAATACAATGAAAAAAAAAATAACCAGTATTTAGGCAACAACTAGCATGATGAATAGAACAGTACCTCACATCTCAATACTAACTTTGAATGTAAATGGCCTCAATAATCCACTTAAAAGACACAGAATGGCAAAATGGATAAAAATCCACCAACCAAGTATCTGCTGTCTTTAAGAGACTCACCTAACACATAAGGAATCACATCAACTTAAGGTAAAGGGGTGGAAAAAGATATTCCACACAAATGGAACCTAAAAATGAGCAGGAGTAGCTATTCTTACATCAGACAAAACAGCCTTTAAAGCAACAAAAGTAAAAAAAAGACAGAGTGACATTATGTAATTATAAAAGGATTAGTCCAATAAGAAAATATCACAATCCTAAATATATATGCATCTAGTACTGGAGCTCCAAAATTCATAAAACAATTACTACCAGACCTAAGAAATGAGTTAGATGGCAACAAAATAATAGTGGGAGACCTCAATACTCCACTGACAGCACCAGACATGTTATCAAGACGGAAAACCAGCAATGAAACAACAGACTTAAACTATGCCCTAGAACTAATGGATTAACATATATTTACAGAACATTCTACCCAACAACTCCAGTATACATTCTTTTCATCAGCATATGAAACATTCTTTAAGATTGACCAATGATAAGCCACAAAACAAGTCTTAATACATTTAAGAAAACTGAAATCGTATCAAGTATCATCTCAGAGCACAGTGGAATAAAACTGGAAATTAACTCCAACAGGAAGCCTCAAAACTAGACAAATATGTGGATATTAAATATTCTGCTCTTAAATAATCTTTGGGTCAACAATGAAATCAAGATAGAAATTTAAAAATTCTTTGAACTGAATGATAATAGTGACACAGCTCATCAAAACCTCTGGGATACAACACAAGCAATGCTAAGAGGAAAGTTCATAGTATTAAATGCCTACATCAAAAAGTCTAAAAGAGCACAGACAGACAACCTAATGTCACACCTAAAGGAACTAGAAAAACAGAAGCAAACCAAACCCAAACCCAACAGAAGAAAAACAATAACAAAGATCAGAAAAGAATGAAATGAAATTGAAACAAAAAAAGATATAAAAGTTAAATGAAACAAAAAGCTGGTTCTTCAAAAAGATAAAACAAATTAATAGACCATTAGCAAGATTAACCAAGAAAACAAGAGAGAGAATCCAAATAAGCTCAACTGGAAATGAAATGGGAGATATTACAACTGATATCATAGAAATGTAAACATTCAAGGATGCTACAAATACCTTCATGCACACAAACTAGAAAATCTAGAGGAAATGGATAAATTCCTGGAAA